AAATCCTCTTTAGCAGGAATAAAAGTAAATTCATTATTTTATCAACATTTTGGGGAAGTTAGTGCATAATTATATTTAGAGCACTAGCCTAAGGAAAACTAAGTCAAATAGCACTCATTTAAAGTTTTTTTGTCACAGTTTTGTATAATTTTACATTGATTCCAAATGAAAATATTTGTATTTTGAGTCTATCAATTACATAAATATTTTGAATGTATAAAACAGTTGCTTTAATTTCTTTTTAGTGGAAGAAGGCATCCAGTGTTTCTTTCTGGATTTGCATAAAATATGCCAAGCGAAGTGTTCTACACATATTTATTGACCCACATACTAGAAGCATTTTGCATGGTACCAAATAAACACAATCCTACAAATCTGTATGCAAGAATACAGTTCTATTGAAAAGAGGATATTATCCAACGCCTTAAGTAGAAAGCTGCCTATTGTTTGTTTTGTTCAATTAGATTTCAAGTTCCCTTTAAATAATCATGAACAAGAACAATAAAAGAAGCAAGTCTCAAACCAATTGAAATTCTTACTGTTCTTGTCAAAAACCAAACATTCTCCCTCCCCAGCCCACTACTACCACCTCCCACTCTTAGCAATGTAAGATGTAGGGCTGAATTTCAACATTCATGTGGAGACATTTGCTGTTAACTATCACATTCTCATATCGTACTTGATAGAGGACTTCACGTTTTCCTTAATAGAGTTTGCATATTGTTCTTTAAAATTGCACTTTAAAACATTTGCACACCTTGCAACATGGTAGCTAATTGGGTTAACGATTCTTAGTGTCAACAGCAGTTTTAGATGTGGTCCTCTTTCTATTGCATGTGTGATTATGTCAAGACTGCTTGGAGGGCAGAAGTAGACAGCCTTTCATCCAGTGTACAGTGGTGAAGATCTGATCTTTCAAGAGGTTGGTTTATTGGACACATGTGCAATGCTCAAGGTGCAATGAAAAGATAAGAGCAGTGAAAGCCTGCAAGGTGGATGAGGTTTTCTTAGCTTCAATCGTGATTATATTTTCACCTCTGCTTTTGCTGGTGTTTTCATGCATTTTAGTCTTTTTCTTTAGTCTTAGCAGATATTTTTATATCTCTCCATGGAGTTTTCTCGGCTATGCTGTCTTCTGGTTCTCAATGTAAATACGCTCAGAATAAAATAAACCCCACAGTGTTATCTGTGAATAGCTGGTTAATAAGAATCCGTGATAATATTATTGGAAAGCGAATTGAAATGTTTTTGTATGTATAATGTATGTTTTTTCTCATTTTCTAAGTAAACTTTAGAAATTCTTACTCATTATCAATGTATATAAAATAGTATTCTTGAATTCAATCTCTTTATTCCTGCTAGCATTGACATCAACCATGTAATTCCTTGGATATTAAGGTCTACAAACTCTCTCCTTTCTGAATAAAATAATTGAGGAAAGTTATCCAAAAGCAAGTCATGAAAGTTAAAAGACATTGTCAAACTATGGAATGTGATGGAACATTCCATTACATTAGTGGAAGTGCAAAGCTTTTATAAATATAATTATTTAATTAAACATTATGTAAAAGGAGGTACACACTAGTGTACATCCAATGAGGAATATCAAAGTAAACATTATCTTACTTTCCTAATGAATTCTAAATTTGAAATAACTCCTTTCAATATTTCTATATTTCAAATGGTAATTTTTTATCAACTTATCTCTGTAGTGGGGTCAACATTATGAGAAATCAATAAGGAAGCTGACTTCAAAGAGATGTCCCTGGCTGGGAAAATTCAGTTTCCCAAAACTAAAAATAAAAATATACTATCTGGCCCATTTGAGAAGTACACTTTTATTCTTTACAAAGTGGGAAAAGAACATTTGATTCATGATTTCATAAATAAGTGGCCAGCATTATTAAACTTTTACATGAGCTATTTTCTTTTTATTTCTTAAGGCATTTATACATCTTGAGTAGAAATAAAATATCTTATTTTATTTTTATATATAGTTGAAAATAATTGTTGAAAAATGTGCTTTTAACTATCTCAGAAGACAAAGAGAATATTTTAGTAAGGAATACTATAGTTGATGATAGTCTAAAATCTGCCCCCAAAGCAATGTCAATTTCAGAAAAATGTGCATATTTAGTTATCCAAAATATATGTAATAATATTAAAAGAAGTAACATGGAAAAATTAGACGTTCTTAATATTGCACTATCAGATCTGGTTGTAATTGAATGTATATTTGTATTTTAAATTTATAAAATATATTGCTGGTATCTGCTTGTGTTTTCAAATAACTAGATTAAAATCAAAATCTCTAAATAAGCAGTGATACATTGGAATGGCTTAATGAAAAACGCATTTTGTCTTTATCCTCATTAACTGTGCAATTAGCATCTATTGAAACACAAATTAATTGCAATTATTAAATATTTCTTGATTTGGTTTCTGATTTTATTCCTCCATTCAGTAAATATTATTGAGCTTGTTCTGTGTTCATGGCCTGTAACTGTTGGAGAAGACAGACAAGGACTTATCTTCAAGGGGCCATGCAGTCAGTCTAATGTGATAAACAGATATTTGGCAAACAATTACTCAATAAACTAATCAAAAGTATGCTAGATATTATGTGAGAAACAAGCATGGTGATTTGAAAGTATGTAAAAAGGGAACTCTCCCTAATTTGATGTCAGTAAACCATGAATCATTTTGAAGCAACCATCATCCCCTTTTATTTTAGAATAAACTTAGGAGCAAGCCAGGATTTTTTGCTAAAATTTGGTTCGTAAGAGTTTAATATCTTCACCAGTCTTATCTTATCGAGGGTAATTTTCTGGGTAAATTTCAGACTTAAGAGTTAAGTGCATAGTATAGTTCTGTTTCATAGTTGTGTTTTAGAAAAAAATGGTTATTTTTGGTATACATTTTCCTTACTTGGCAATAGCACACAGACTTGAAGTCAGTTTACATTTTGCACACTCAGATTTTTGTAACAGAATATTAATTTTCATTATTTAAAACATACCCAATAATAATAGTGCAACCTACCTAAAATGTACAATTAAGTATTTTTAATTGTCAACTTTATAAGTATGCTATAAAAAATCTTTCATTTTAACTAAAGACAATTTATAGCCCCAATCCAATAATCAGTCTAATTTCATAATTAATATCAAGGATTGGCAAACAATAATATATAAAGAAGTTCTCCTGAATTACATCTGGGATTTAGACTGTGAGTTATTGTAAGACACTTACATTTTGAAATTTAGATTTAGTGGCATATAGTTTACTCCTAATTTAAGGATCTAATATAAATAAGTTTTTAGACACTGTGTTCAGGGTGGAAAATAAGGATTACTGTTTTATCCCAGCATAGTGGGGAAAGAGAATAAATACCAAAGAGGTGGTGATTAATTCTAAAATTTTATACATATTAAAAGTTTCCCTTATTGAGAAGGGTCCTACATTCTGTGATTCCCAAACTAAGTATTTAGAAAAGCTCTAAGAAAGCATCACCAGATTTGTGAAAAAAATATATATATATTTTGACAAATTAAAAATAAGATTAAAATATCATCAGGTATTGCATGTTAACAGATGCAACAAATCCACTGGGTTTATGAAGTTTTGACATCAATACTTTGGGAAAACTGTTTCCCTAAATGCATTGTAAGTCCTTGTAATTATTTACATATGAACTTTATAAAGTAATGATATAGGTATGCCTAATATCCAATATTTATTTCCATGCAATGATGATTAGTTAGCATGTTTACAGTAAGTCTCTTTTCTATGTATAGCTCCATTATGCCATTTGTAAGTAAGATAGTATCATCAAATTTTAAACATCCTTCTCGTTAAACTAAATTAAATGTTTAGATTAAATATGATAAGCACATTCTTCATATTTCATTCTTTGTAGACTAACAATTGTTTTGTGCAGAAGAAAGTATCTAAGGCTCAAGCCCTGAAATCTCTAAGATAAATCATAAGACTGAAAGTCAGAAGAATCATGATCTATCCACAATGGCTTTGTTATTCATTAAATATTTGAACTTGGTAAATCACTTTCCCTTCTTTTCTCTAGTTTTTCTTATTCGTAGAGTGAATCCCTGTGCTTACTTCAGCCGTTTTCACTTTTCCACAGCAGAAGCCTTTTGCAGACAAATATTATGCATAATCTCCATGTGAATAAAAATAAATAATAAAAATAGAGCTTTTCTTATAGGAGCAGCAATGATAGAGGGGGCAGGAGTGTGAAGCGGGGGTGCTAAAGCCCAACCTACATGCTAGCCCTCACCTTCCCACACACCTTTGGAAATGGCTCTAGGGCACATCAAACAATTCCTCAAATTTGTGGAACACATTTTGATAATCATGTAATCATATGATCTTTAATTTTCCTTATAATTCCAAAATAATATAATTCTCAATTTTTCAAATTGAGATTTTCTGTTACAGAATTGAAAATCGTATCATCTACCTAAGAAAAAGATATATGCAAATATAAGGTTTACATCTATTCTAAACAGAATTCTAAGGAAAAAAGCCCACATTTCACACTTAAGCCACTGATTTAAGAATCTCAAAACAGCTCTATAATACCAAATAGTTCACATTTAAGAAATGAATAAATTGATAGAACACCACATACCCCCTCGATGTTCAAAAAAATGCAATAATCTTTTAGTTGAATTTAAATTCCCTTACGCATCTCTATACCTCACTGGGGAAATGAGAAAAAATAATTTTTTGTAAATATGAAGGCAAAATGTGCTTAAATGATTATCACTTCCCAGCTTTGGTAATCAGAAAGTGAACAACACTTTAAGTTCTGTCAGCACACATAATATGCAACTATTAGACCCTTGCAGTCATAGTCTATGGAAATAAAAAATTAGGTAGAAGACAGCAAGTTCTACAAAATAGTTAATTGCCCAGGAAAAGAAAACCCTGCAGGAGAAGGTCTTCACAAGGGGCCATTTTCTTTGCCAGTTATTGAAATGGATTTGATGGTTGGTGAGGCAAGAGTAATGGGTTTTCACTGTGACTAATTTCTGATGTCCTTTATGAGCAAGGATTTCTAACTACCTAAAATAAGGAAATGAATAAAAGCAAACTTTCAGTAATCCCCAAAGGACCCAAAGCGAAATTATCGCAGCAGTTACCTTATATAGACTCTGTGACACAGTTCCCCTTTCGCAAAAATACTTAGTGTAGATCATTACTTTCCAACTTTCGCGTTTAGAGACCTACTTTATAACACTTAGGGGAAGTTAATGTACTAGGTCTTGAAAGGCCTTTCCGGAATGAAGTAACTTGAAGTAACTTGTAGTTTTCTTGAACTAGCAATGTTAACCCCTGCGCTGTTTTGTAGGTCCGTGGGGCCGATGCATGGGAGATGAATGCGGTCTAGGAGGCATCCAAACCAGGGCGGTGTGGTGCGCGCACGCGGAGGGCTGGACGACGTTGCACACCAACTGCAAGCAGGCCGAAAGACCCAACAACCAGCAAAATTGTTTCAAAGTTTGTGACTGGCACAAAGAGTTGTACGACTGGAGGCTGGGACCCTGGAATCAGTGTCAGCCCGTGATTTCAAGAAGCCTGGAGAAACCCCTTGAGTGCACTAAGGGGGAAGAAGGCATTCAGGTGAGAGAGATAACGTGCGTCCAGAAGGACAAAGACATTCCCGCGGAGGACATCATCTGTGAGTACTTCGAGCCCAAGCCTCTCCTGGAGCAGGCGTGCCTCATCCCTTGCCAGCAAGACTGCATCGTGTCTGAGTTTTCCGCCTGGTCCGAATGCTCCAAGACCTGCGGCAGCGGGCTCCAGCACCGGACCCGCCACGTCGTGGCGCCGCCGCGGTTCGGAGGCTCCGGCTGTCCGAACCTGACGGAGTTTCAGGTGTGCCAGTCCGGGCCGTGCGAAGCGGAGGAGCTCATGTACAGCTTGCACGTGGGGCCCTGGAGCACGTGTTCAGTGCCCCACTCGCGACAAGTCAGGCAAGCGAGGAGGCGTGGGAAGAATAAAGAACGGGACAAAGAGCGAGGCAAAGGAGTAAAGGATCCGGAGGCCCGTGAACTTATTAAGAAAAAGAGAAACAGAAACAGACAGAACCGACAAGAGAACAAATACTGGGACATCCAGATTGGGTATCAGACGCGAGAGGTTACGTGTACTAACAAGACGGGGAAAGCTGCTGATTTGAGGTAACGTTTTATTAGCATTAACCGTAAGTGTCTTTCTGTCAGGACCAAGAGTACCAACTCCCGGAATACAGAGTGCGCAACCTAGGCCAAGCTACCCCCAAATTTAAGATTTCTGAGCTTGTGTGGGTTTCTTGGTGGTGTTTCTACTGTGTTAATGTTTGGGCCTTATACTACTAGAGTTAAATTGAATTTTCCTTTCAAAGTCTAGAGAGCATGAGCAATTCTCCATGAAAAATACTGCTCCTTCTCCATGAGATCATGTAGTTTTTCCCTGTAATGGGGGAAAAAAAATTCTTAGAGGCTGGAGTATTGGGATTTTGAATTCAAATACTTTAGTGAGTTAATAGAATAAGACACACTTGTAATCTTTCCAAGTTTATAGCATTTTCAGAATTACCCTATAAACAAAATCTGCTGTAAACAACAACCCAGGGAGCTATACCTAAGAATAATTTTCTTGCACATTTTATGTAATGGAATAACTCCCTCCAGAGAAGAAAATGGGAATCAGCAGAAAGTAAGGTAAGTGGAGGATATTTAATCATGAGTAGCCTAGTTTAGAAAACATGTAATTAATTGGCTGCATTTTCTAGACAGAAATTACTTGGCAAAGTATCTTTGGGTAGATAATGACAATATTATGAAATACTGTCTTGTACGATTTATTTGTTGTGAAAATAATATTCATTGAGGACTATCTAAAGGACATGTTCTCTGGATATTCTAAATTTTGCTCTTGGATAAACCAGACCATCTGGGAGTGGCTTATCTGGATCATTTGCATAATTGCTTTTTCTGAAATATTTATGTAGTTATGATTTGAACTGAACTGAGAAGTTATAGTAACATCACTCAGAAATTTATATCATATTTATTGTAGAAATGACATTGAGAGTGTCATCTACTCCATCATGCAGTCTGTTTTCTTGATCAAAAACATATAATTTAAATTTCGCTGAATCAGCCCATGTGCTTCTGGTGAGCAGATGGATTGTTTTTCTTATGGCCACTGGAATTATTGTTACAGACCACATTTTCCTGTTTACTTTGGCTATTGGGAACCTAAATAGGACTGTGTGGAATGCATGTTGTTTATTAATACATCTCATTACCATTATCTTTTTTCTCACCCTCATTATTTTTTCTTCACTCATTCTTATCTGGTGATTTTTGCTATGTATGCATTTTGAAATCTGGCATAATGCCTTTTTGGAACATGATATAGTTTAAATAAATGAGTAAATAAAGCAAACAATTTATCTGTTTAAGATGACTTTCTCTCATCATAGCATTGTTCTGGTTGCTATTTTTAGGATATTTGTCACTCTCTTCCCTCTTTGTACTCATTCAATTGTATTTTATTTCAGCTGTACAGTAATTTGCTCTTTCTGCATTCTGGTCCCATCATTCCATTTCCCCAGGCCTTGCTAATGGCTGTCTGTTCTGCCATCATTCTCCAGGTTCCCTACAACTCCTTAAGGCTGCGTGTGTGTGTTTATGTGTATGTGTGTACGTGTGATTCTGTGACATGTGTATTTTTGACTAAATCTCCACTTTGTTCTTTGCTAACTATCCTTATTCCAGTGATTTCATGTTCTCTTTCCCTGAAATATTATGGTTATATTAGTTACTTGCCTCCTATCAAGTGGTTGAATGAGCCTCCAAGACAACTTGAGTTGTCTCCTGCTGTCACTGGGTTAGCGTTCTGTAGACATTTAATTTAATGTTGACTACTCAATTAAAAGTGTAATTAAGATAGTAGCTACCATTGCACAGAGCCTAATATTCTCATCCAATTGTTGGAATTAAGCAAATATATTTAAAAATGTGCAGATTATTAGGTTGTTGTAAAAGTAATTGCTGTTTTGGACCATGAATTTTAAATCATTACAACTAGGCTCAAACACATCTTTATTAATCAAAATAGGAACCGTTACAATCAATACATTTTTGCCAACAAGAAATAGGTTCGTTTATTCCTGTAGCATAAAAATCCATGCTTTGGGATTCTATGAACTCTTGGAAAGCATTTTCTGCACCCTGCTGGTTGTGGAAGCGTTTTCCCTGAAAAAAGTTGTCCAGATGCTTGAAGAAGTGGTAGTCGGTTGGCGAGAGGTCAGGTGAATATGGCGATTGAGGCAAAACTTTGTAGCCCAAGTCATTCAACTTTTGAAGTGTTGGTTGTGTGACGTGTGGTCAGGCATTGTCATGGAGAATTGGGCCCTTTCTGTTGACCAATGCCAGCTGCAGGCATTGCAATTTTCAGTGCATCTCATCCATTTGCTGAGCATACCTCTCAATTGTAATGGTTTCACTGGGATTCAGAAAGCTGTAGTGGATCAGACCGGCAGCAGACCACCAAACAGTGACCATGACCTTTTTTGGTGCAAGTTGTGCTTTGGAGCTTCTCGGTCCAACCACGGGCCGATCGTTGCCGATTGTCGTATAAAATACACTGTTCATCAACATCACAATCCTATTGAGAAATGGTTCATTGTTGTTGTGTACAAGAAGAGAAGACGGCACTTCAAAACAATGATTTTTTAAATTTTCGGTCAGCTCATGAGGCACCCACTTATTGAGCTTTTTCTCCTTTCCAATTTGCTTCAAATGCTAAATGACAGTAGAATGGTTGCCTTTGAGTTTTTTGGCAACTTCACATGCATTTGTAAGAGGATCAGCCTTGAAGATTGCTCTCAGTTGGTCGTTGTCAACTTCTGATGGCCAGCCACTCTGTCCCTCATCTTCAAGGCTCTCATCTCCTTTGCAAAACTTCTTCAACCACCACTGCACTGTACATTTGTTAGAGTTTCCCGGGCCAAATGTGTTGTTGATGTTCTGAGTTGTCCCTGTGGCTTTATGACCTATTTTGAATTTGAAAAAGGAAATTTGCTTTTGGTCTAACATCATTTCCATAGTCTAAAATAGATATAAAATATAATGTATAATATAATATATAAAACACCAAGTAATAAGTCATTGGTAAAAAAACATGAAGGGAGAAATGGTCATTAAATTGATGTATAACATAACAACATTTATTGAAGAATGTATTCCACTATCAAAGAGCAAATTTCAACGATGCTAAAACTGCAATTACGTTTACACCAACCTAAACATTTGTCAGGTGCTTACATCCCACTGGAAGTATCATATATAATTACTTTAATCAAAATAGTTCCATGTTTGACTTATTAAGGTGTGTGTATATAATTACTTTAATCAAAATAGTTCCATGTTTGACTTATTAAGGTGTGGATTAAACTTAACATAAAACAATTAAATTGGTTATTAATATTTTCTTATATATGAATTAGCATATATGATTAAGAAAGTTAAAGTCCCGTGAAGAAGTGACAAAAAAATCAGGTGTTTTGACCTATTTTGCCCAAATGTTACTTCATGATATTAGCAAAGCCAATGAAGGTGAAGAATGAATCAATTGCATCACCAAAGCACAGGGCTACAAATCAAGAACTTGATTAAATTTAAAATATTTTATCTTCCATCAAATTCAGAAACTACTTTATTATGTAAGAGGATAAAAATTATTTACTAAGGCTCAAAAAGTCTTATTATAGCAAGTGAATTTAGCTAAATAAACCTAAGAATCTTTGAGAATCAGTTCAGAGGCAAATGAAAATAATTTTAGCAGAGTTACTGCTGAAATATCCAAGTTAAAGATGATAGATCTGCCCTGTTTTCTGCTTTCAAACAGACCAAAATCAATAAGAATGAAACACACAAGCAAAAGTCCATTTTTTTATGACAATAGGAAATGGTCACAGTCCCAAACCATGACTGATACAGAAATTTGGTCAATGTGGTGAAATTAGACCTATCTGAGTAAGGAAACTTATAGGGGTATTACATCTTGTCAGCTTTCATGAACACTCAAAATATTTTAGAGTAGCCTGAGCTTTCTGAGGGGCAAGTCAGTGACACCTGCTGAGTGTGGCATGGTCTGTGTCTGGGAAAAGGGCTGCAGAAGCACACTTGAGTCCTGTTTGAAATCAGAGTAGCACAACAGGCAGGCCTGAAAGAGGAAACCCAATATGCCGTTATTAGCAGCAAAAGCCTATCAGCTTGACAGATTGAAGGATGAAAGTTTTGACAACCAGTGGGAGAGAATTCTAAATCACTACACACACACTAGGACACAGAAGGCTTCCCTGTGAACCAGTGACTTCCAGCCAGGCTTCAGCAGAGACTTAAGGCCAAGAATTTGTAGGAAAATATGCCAAACATTTCTCTAGGAAACCAAAGATATTAAAGAAAATATGGTTTTCTGAACCCAAAACAGAAAGAATTTCAGTATTCAACAAAGAGATAAGAAAATGCAATGAGTTTTAAAGTGATCTAACAGAGCTCGGAAAAGAAATGAAGGAGAATTAGAAAATGATACCAGAAATATAATTCATATTAGAAGCAACAGAAAGTGGAAAAATAATTGGTAGTGGGAAGAGTAAGAGATAATAGAGAACAGTTTGAGAACATCAAGTAAACTAATTTTTCAAAGAGACAATGAATATGGAAACAAAGAAGATTACTATATGAAAGTCTGATGTTTCTGAAGAAAGAACCAAAAAAATTTAAAAAAAACAAAACAAAATACAAAGATAAGACTTTCTTGAAGTTAAGGAAGACTTTAATCCATACATCGAAATTGTGCAGGGCCCATATTACGCTAGAAGTTGTTGAAATAATGAACTGATAGAAGAACTGATATAGATCAATTTTTATATAGAGAGATAGCCAAAGAGACATAAAACTGAAAGCCAGCACAATGCTCAATTGTGAAACATTAGAAGCGTTCCCTTTAAAGTTAAAAGATGAGACAAGACAGCATATTAGCTCCACTGTTAGTTAACTGTTAGTTAACACGGATCTATTACTTACTAGTCAATGTACCGGAAAAGAGAAAGAAATGAATATTGGAAAGCAGGTGGCAAAATCAAGATTTTTTTTTCCCTCTAGATGTTATGATTATCTACTGGAAA